GTTTTGGTTTCATCCAATTTTTTTTTAAACGAAAAGTCTAATCACTTATTAGTAGTGTTCTAAAAAGCGTTCTAGACGTTCGTTTAGGTGCTAGGCCCTATAGACCGTGGCGATTACTGCTTTTGCCGCCTAAAATATTATGGTATTATAATAATAAAAATAATATAAATGTTTGTATATATAAATCATAAAAATGTTATAAAATGATGAATATAAATATAATATAAATTTTGTTAGTTATAAATTATGATTTTTTATATATTTTATCATATATATTTAATATATTATGTATTTTTGTAAAATGTTTAGACTGAATATTAAATTGTCTAGCCTCTGATTAGGCGTTTTAATCACTAGGCATTGGATCACCGTCCGTTTAGCGGCTAGCGGTAATCTTTCCTTACTTAGAACCGAAGAGAGAGAAAACAAATCGAAGATCTGAATCGTTCGTTCCGTAAACAAATACTTGTATGTTCTTCATTGGAGTTAAATTATTATATTAAAAAAAAAAAAAATCCTAACACTCTCGTTTTCTCTCTCTCTCTTGAGTCTTGACTTGTCGTTTTGATTTTTCTTTGTAGCCCTAGATCTTTAATGTTAGATCATCAAAGCATTCATTTTTTTTTTTGAGATCTGGGTTCGGACAAAGATTCTATTTTTGTCTTACCCATTTTAATCCCATTTCGAATTCAGCTCCAAAAAATTCTCAGGTACTGTAATAATAACTCTAAATTTGCTTCACTGATAAATGCTTTGGTCCAGTGTGTCTCCATAGCTTTTTCTTTACAAAATTTCTACAAATTCGAATCTGATTGTTTGCTAATTAATTCTACTTAGCTTTTGGATTTTTGGTTTTGTGTTGAAGCAAAATCACGACACTTCCTTAATCGCTTTCTTACGTTCGTGCGGGTGAGAATCACAAGAAGTACGTGCATAAGCATTTGGTCCGTTTTAAATTAGGGTTTCTTTTTGTTTCTTCTTAAATTTGTGTTTCACCAAACGTGTGGGACTTTGGAATTAAATTCATGTTCTAATTGCTTGTTTCTTAATAGAGTTGCGTTAAGATTGGTACTTTTACTTCAATTCGTTTTGGTTAGTGATAAAGATTTCATGTTTCTTCAATCCTTATTGTTTATTGTGATTGAAATTCTTTCAGGTTTTACTCAATGTAAAGAAGTAAAGATTCGAACTTTTCTCTTCTAGCTTTCAATGGGTGAAACACAGAACCTGCATTTACCTCTGAGAAACCGATCTTCTCTAAAGAAGTCGTTATTGGTTGTTTTATTAGTATGCGTCACGAGTGTGCTCTTGGTCTGTACTTACATGTATCCACAACACAATGGCAAGAGTTCTTCTTCTTGTAAAGGTTTGTCTAGCAGAGGCTGTGAAGCGTCGCTCTCGGGATGGCTTCCTGTTCATGTGAGGAAATACACAGACGAAGAATTAGCGGCTCGCGTTGTGATCAAAGACATATTGAGAACACCTCCTGTTCTAACCGTTAAATCGAAAATCGCATTCATGTTCTTGACTCCCGGTACTTTGCCATTTGAGAAGCTCTGGGATAAGTTTTTCCAGGTAAAGTTTCTGAAATGTATGTAATTGTCTATATTTTATATGGTAGATATTTGATTTCTTACGGGTTTAGTTCGTCTTTGTGAAGGGTCAAGAAGGGAGATTCTCTATTTACATCCATCCATCAAGGTTACGACCAGTTCACATTAGCCGTCACTTTTCAGACCGAGAAATTCATAGTGATCAGGTCACTTGGGGAAGGATTTCTATGGTTGATGCAGAGAGACGGCTTCTAGCAAACGCTCTTGAAGATCCTGACAACCAACACTTTGTTCTTCTTTCAGAAAGGTGATTTATAAATTGATCGAATTTACACAAGATCATAACTTTATTACCCGGCTACGTTCACTTTATTCAGTGTCTCTCTTTTAATTTTGCAGCTGCATACCGTTGCATACGTTTGACTACACCTATAGATATTTGTTGCACGGAAATGTAAGCTTCATTGACAGGTAATTAGATGATTCTCAGAAACCTTAAATATCTTTCTACCACTGAATTTTATTTCTCTCCATTAATACCTACCAATGCCTGCTTCTCTCTCTCTCAAGTTTTGAGGATCGTGGTCCTCATGGGACCGGCAGACACATGGACCACATGTTACCTGAAATCTCAAGGCAAGATTTCAGAAAGGGTGCGCAGGTAAACTACTCTCTACTTAATCCTTGAGTTGTTGATGACTTCTGTTTGGTAATGGTAATCTCGAAAACTATGTGAATAGTCTGCCAGATATATATATTTTGTAATCCCGACTTTTCTCCTTTGGCGCAGTGGTTCACAATGAAGCGTCAACATGCTTTGATAGTGATGGCTGATAATCTCTACTACTCGAAATTCCGGGAGTATTGCAGAGTAAGTTCGGTTTCCCTTTGTATCACATTTTTCATTTGCATATTGTAGCCATTATTGTCTAATTGTTTATGACTGAATTCTGTAATTCGAAGTCATTCATAAAGACACCAAGCTTAGATTTATCTTAAAATCGCGAGTCCTCAGATTAAAAAGTCTGAGAAAAGTTCCAGTTTTGTCTTACTCTGATTTGAAAATTCACACAAAATTTTCAGCCCGGGGTAGAAGCAAACAAGAACTGCATCGCGGATGAACATTACCTGCCTACATTCTTCCATGTGAGTCTATCAATTTAAACGACAACTCTCTCTCATATTCAACTTTGATTCTTGTCCCTTAATGAAATGTTTCTTCTTCTTTAAAGATGCTTGATCCTGGAGGAATCTCAAACTGGTCAGTCACATATGTTGATTGGTCTGAGCGCAGATGGCATCCAAAGACATACAGAGCTCGTGATGTCTCACTTAAGTTCTTGAAAAACATCACGGTAATGTTACTACATTCCTTTCAACACATCAATCAAACATCTTATACTATCACACAGTAAACCGGGATCATCATCCGGTTTAACCTTGTTAGCTCAAGCAGATGGTTATTAGTTGTTACTAATCAGATAGAAATGGCTCATTAAATACGTATTTACACTCATTGTAATCCATGATATAGATTTAATTGAGAAACTATCCAAATTCTCTATCTCATCTTTTCCGTTTCTCGGGTTTTTAATTGATATATACTTTGCTTCCTCTGTTTCTTGTAGTCGGACGACATGAGTGTGCACGTAACAAGCGTTGGCAAGGTATATTACTCATTTACTGCATTCGAAAACACTGAAAATGTGAAATATTATTCTTCATTTATCTTTTGGGTTTTTTCTGTTTCTTAGCGCGGAGAAGAGCTGCATTGGCCTTGTACATGGAACGGGATTAGGCNTCCGTGCTATCTATTCGCAAGGAAGTTTCACTCAGATTCTGTTACCAAATTGGTCAGACTCTTCCCAAACTACACTAGCACAGTGGTCTAATAGAGATATAGCCAGACACATTCTTGAAACCGAACCATATGTTCTTGAAACCTGAACAAAACACCTCCAGATTATCTCGAGATTGGATTGGATCGCAGACTACCGTAAATTTTCTGAAGAATCCGAAAAATGCTGCTTCTTTCTGGGATTTAGTGTCTCTCTATGGAACAAGTTACTCTGCTTTTTTGAAGGTTTTAGTATAAAAAAAACAATGAGAAGCAGAGATTTTTGGTTAAGGAGAATTGGTTATTGTGATTTTAGCCATGGTTCGGTTAGTGTGAAACCGGTTTATTGTTGTTGTAATGTAAGCTATTAGTAGTTTAGCACAAAAGTTTATAGTTTTTTACTTTTTTACTATCTTCTGTGCCAGATT